CAACTACCATTCCTTCATTAACTTAAACGAAATTGAGTGACTACATGTCATATTACTGAAATGAAATAGACTTCTTAAGCTCTTCTTCACTTTGCATCGTCTTCAACTGCCAAGGCAGACCAAAATCTTATTCCAGCGCATCTGAGGTGGGTCGATTCCGACAATTACTTCTCCCAGTTGCACGATTCACACCAACCCTTTGCCGACGGGCCATATTGCCTTTCCTGAAGGCGTTGGCGACCCACTTGACGATCGTCGTTCCGCGAATGCTCGTCTAGAAACAGCCATTTCCTCGCTCTGTCCCTCAGCCACTCCAGCCCGTCTTTTAGCGAACAAGCAAGTCTGTCCGACCGTAGCAACAGACAAGAAGGGCATCATTCGACTTTCTGTCGTCCAGACTTTAAGCCACGGGCCGATAACTTGCATTTCCCCACCTCCTCGTCGAGGATTGATTGTCTCTGTCTGGCCAAGGCGTGTTTCCGACTGGTACCAAAAGCACTCTGGAGGTGACGATGTTTGCCGTGAAAATTAGACACACGCGCCCCCCCTCCACACACACACACGCACACACTAACATACGTGGAAAGAGGCATTTTCAGGTGTGTTCGAACACGGTTGCAACTGCAGCCTTTCGACATGTGAAGTCCTGACTGCAAGTCTGCAAGTGGCAGAAAGCTCTTTCTGACTATGCTGTCTTGGCAACCTTTCGGATTCGCATGATTGATCTCTGCCCATCAGCGCCAACCAATCAGAGTTGAGGCAGGAGGGCATCATTAGCATCTCCCTCTTCTGGACAGCCGAAGCCGGCTGTCTACTGTCGGTGTTGGGCTGTTGCAGTCGAGTCCCACAGAGGCTGCGGCTCCAGACGGTGTGAAGGGAAGACGTCATGTGGCAGTCGGTTTCGAGGCTGCACATGCCGCAAAATGCTGCTCGTTGTTCGTACACTCGCCTCGTCATCGCCTCATCACCGCAAAGGCGGGATTCGCGGGTAGCATGCTCCGAGGCTCGGACGAAGACACACAGAAGC